GGGGGGGGGGGGCAAGGGTCGACCCTTCTTACCCTGTCGTAAGTCACAGTCGCGATGACGTCACAGTGCCGTCACAGCCCCGACAGGTGACAACTGGGGTCAGCATTCGGCTGGCTGGAGCAGCAAACGGTTGCAGAGTTTTCCCCTCCCCCTCCTCTGCCCCATCCTTTGCTGCCTTTCCTCTTGCCCTTTACTGTTATGTTACTATGAGCTTTCCATGGGGCTTATTTTGCGTTATTCGGGAACCGTGGGCCTCGCGGAGTGCAGAACACTGTTATTCAATTCATGTGACCTCACATTGGCGTGAGCGTGCTTTCCTGCTCGTTTCCGCTTCGGCTGTTCGCCACCTATAAAGCGAGGTGTTTGAATCAAGTAAATATCCCTAGAACAAGGCAAATTCTTCGCACAGGCCTGGGTAATTGAATTGATTCGCGAACCTCGTTTTTTGAGTGCTAGCCGTACCGCATTCCATTGACGTCTTCTCTCTGTTACACGCGTATGCGTGCAATGCCAAAACGAATCTACCGGAATCTACGTGCACTTGTTCAAGTACAGTGTTTGTGTTTCCATAGACGACGAAAAGGCTGGCCGTGGTGCTTCGTCGTGCCGAGCCCAGAGAGTCCTCCAAGAGGTCCCGCTCCTTACAAAGCCCTCCGGTTCGGCCGGCCGGCCCCGGGCTCGCCCCATTAGTAGTGATTAATACTGGCCACACATGGGCCTGCGGGGACCTACCCGGCGCGGGGCGGGGCGGGGCGGGGCCAAGACGTCGCAGCCGGCCCCCAGCCTCCTCCCCGGTAATTATTTGCATGTTCTTAGTGCGACCTTAAGGTCCGGCCGGCGCCGTTACCCGGACCCCGAAGGGAACGCCCCGCCCTGCCCCGCCCTGCCCCGCCCTGCCCCGCCCTGCCCCGCCCTGCCCCGCCCTGCCCCGCCCCGCCCTGCCCCGCCCCGCCGTTACGGGGGCTCTGCGGGCCATAAAGGGGCGGCCCGGTCCCCTCCGGTCAGCCCTCCTCGGCCGGACTGCGCGCGCCCGGGCGTGCTTGTCATTCCACGCTCCAACACCCGTCATTAAGGTTTTCTCGGGCGGTGCCGCACGCCGCCGTGCGCAAACACCTCGACGGGACCTCCGCAACGGCCTTGAGCAGCACCACCGTCTGCTGCACCCTTACACTCTACACTCTACCGCGCTCTTTACTTTTAGCAAAAATTTTGTCCCAGAAATCAAATCTTTCTTTTTCGTTTCTATTGACAAAACAGAACGGTGGAAAAACAAAGATAGGACTTAGTTCCTTTCAAATTTGCAAAATTTTATTGCCTTTAGAAAGTCACAGAAGTGTCCAAAAGCACCAAAATTTATCGGCTTTGGGGCATTTTTCGTTTTTTATTTTTTGTCTTTCCAGGGGTACGAATATTTTAGTGCCTCTGGAAAGGCACTAAAATCCCCAAGAAAGGCGTCGATTCCTATTCGTACCTTTGTTTTTCCAGTTAAGAAAATATTGCTTTGCCTCGGCGAAAATTTCATTGATTGCGGCAAAGTCTTGATGAATGAGTGCCGTTTAATTTGGTCCGACTTTCATCTGAGAATCCACAACAAATACAGACGCGTTATAGTATTTTTTTCTGTGACAGCTGAAGCAAACCTTTGTGAACACCAAACAAAATTAAGTACGTGATTCGTGCATGCCGATCATTCGACAGATTACAAGAGCCCGGCGCCTGCGAGACTCAGGATCGGCCACCCTGCAGTGCACGCATGCAAGATGGGTAAGATGTTGCCTACCTAACAGGCGCTATCAGACCTTGCACTGACTGAACTTGGCAACTTCGGAACGTACTTCCTGAACGATCCCACCTCAATAATAAAAGCGATAATTTAAGTTAGAGAACGAGTTTCTTCCTTAGCATAAAGTTAATTTATGTCTAATGCGTCTCCCATTTTTCTTGCCGTGTGTGCTATACTAAACACTTGCACAAACGGGCGCGTTACAGCCGTGCGGCGGGCGCGCTGACAAGAGAGAGAAAGAGAGAGGGAGAAAGAGAATGACAAATCCGAGTCGTTCAAAAACGGGATGCGGAGAAGATGAGCCGCGGTGGCGCGCAATGGGCCGCGCAGTGCACGCAGCGCAGCCAGCCACGTAACGCGAGCTCGATTTCTCATACCGCGGCGCTCTAAAAGCGGTTTAATCATGCGGAGAAGCGGAAATCAAACATATAAAAGAGGAAGTGGCAAGAGATGCTTGCGGGGGGAGATGTATAAAAAAAAATTGTGGGGGAGAGGGAGAGAGAGGAAATCTGAGAATAAGAGTGAGAAGGGAGGGGGAGGGCGCGACGGCACCAGCGAGGAATCTGAGTGATCCGGACAGTGATCGGCGGAGGAAGGGGGAGGGGAGGGGGGCATGAAGGCAGCGACGAAAAAACAGAGGAGGGGTGATGTCGCTGGCGGCGGTCCCGTTGGCTGCCGTTGCTGGTGATGTTGACCGATAGTCTATCTGTCCACCTATCCTGCCATCTATCCACCCCGCCTCTCTCTCTCTCTCTCTCTCCAAACAGAAAAAACAAGATAAAATCCGAAAGTATCCAACCCAACAAACCTGTGCAAAATAAAAAGAAAGTGCTCCTTCTATCCGACAGTCATGGCAGAGGACTTGCACAAAATCTATCAGAAGAACTTGGACCAAGTTTCGACGTGTCCAGTTTTGTCAAACCAAATGCTGGCCTTGAAGGTGTAACCGACTCCATGGATACAGTGTGCAAGAACTTCACAAGTGAGGACTGTGTAGTAATAATTGGTGGCACGAATGACATTCAAAAACCGACCAGGCAAAATTGTCTTGATCAAGTATCGACCAAGGTCACAAAACTAAGTAAAGAAACTAATGTCATTATTGCAGCTGTGCCCTGGAGACTGGATACACCCCACCTCAACCTTGAAATTGATAAAGTAAACACATACCTGTATGGCAAGGTGAAAGAAAATATTTGTCAACATGGAAATAGTGATAATGTATGCTATAGCACATCCATGGTGGACTTGGAAAGAAAATACTACTCTAGATCTGGTCTACACTTGAATTCCAGGGGAAAGAAAATAATAAGTCACAGGTTTGCTAAACAAATAAAAGCCATATCTAATAATGAGAGAGAAAAGAATTTTTAATAGGAGCCACTGAACAAATCAACTCTAGTCAATTGAAAGCCCTACCCTATTTTAACATATGTCATCTCAATGTCAACAGTATGCATCAAAAACTTTTAGAGTTAGAAAACATTGTTGATGAAATGAATACTCAAATTCTGTGCATCAGTGAACATTGGCTAAAACCTGAACAAATTCCAACTTCTAATATCAGTGGATTTAAGTGTGCATCAATTTTCTGTCGAAAACAGTTTTCACATGGTGGTGTGGCTATATATGTGAGAAACGGATACCACAAATTTAAAGAACTGGATGTAAGTGATATTGTAAGTGAGAAAGTCTTCGAAGCTGTATGTATTATCTGTGATAAGTATGCTGTGATATGTGTCTACCGTTCTCCATCAGGAGACATAAATGACTTCTGTGATAAATTAGATGAATGCATACAAAGAGTTAACACTAAGAAAAATCAAATACTAATCTGCGGTGATTTTAATATAGACATTTTAGACTATCAGAACTCAGTGGATCTAAATGGCAAAAAGCTTGTTGCTATTCTTCAAGAAAATGGCCTTCATACCATCACAAACAAGTCCACTAGAGTAACAAATGTGTCCAGATCAGCTATTGATCATATTATAACAAATTTTAATTGCAAACAATATGAGAGCAAATGTGATATTGAGACTGGTATATCAGACCATTACATGCAGTGTATAAGTGTAAATAACCTCCCACAATCTAAATCTGAAACACAATTTATCATGAAGAGAGTGTTTACAATCAAATCAAAAGCAGCCTTCTGCAGAGCTATTAAAGATCAAAACTGGGAGCAAGTATATTGTGAAACTGATGTGAACAATAAGTTTAATGTATTTCATAATACTTTTAAAAATATCTATGACACTCATTTTCCAATCAAGAAAGTAAAAGAAAGAGAGTCAAATAATAAATCATGGGTAACAAATGGCATAAAAATAACGTCAAAAAATTATAGAGATCTCTGCGCACTAATGAAGACTACAAACGATGCAATATTACAAAATTATTTTAAGAAATATAAATCACTATACAAGCAAGTTATCAAGAAGGCCAAATGCTTGCATAACCAAAGAACTGTATTAAATTCTGAAAACAAGTGTAAAACCATATGGTCTGTTATTAACAGCAATATTGGAAAATCTAAGCAAGAACACAAAAACATGAATATAAGAAGAACAGAAGACAGCCCTATTGTAGAAAACCCAGACACAGTAAGCAATATGTTTAATGATTACTATCTAAATATCATAGAAGACTTACAAAAAAATAATTTAGGAAATGGTACAACAACCACAAAACCGATAAACAGTTCAATGTACCTTGGAAGTGTCTCTACAAATGAAGTCATAAGTGCCATTGGAAAATTAAAAAATAAACAGTGCAGTGGGCCAGATGATGTGACAGATGAGATTCTGAAGCTATGTCACAAAGATATTGTTGAGCCATTAGCCAATATAATAAATGCATCATTTGATTGTGGTATCTTTCCAAATGCACTAAAAACATCTAAGATTTTTCCTTATTACAAAAAAGGTAATGAGGAACTTGTATCAAATTATAGGCCTGTTGCAAATGTATCAGCTTTCTCAAAAATTCTGGAAACAGTAATGGCAGAACGGGTTCAATCCTACCTAACAAACTTTAATATCATTGCTCCATCGCAATTTGGCTTTGTGAAACAGAAAAACACTACAGATGCTGTTCTGGATTTTATTCATCACATCTATAAATGCTTTGATGAAAGATCATGTGTGATGGGGGTGTTCTTTGACATGTCAAAAGCCTTTGATATGGTTGACCATAACATTTTACTGGAAAAATTAGAGTCTTATGGCATTCGAGGAAATGTGAAAGAGTGGTTCAAAAGTTATCTTGAGGATAGAATGCAATATGTTCAAATAACATTCAACGATGGTAAACTGCAATACACCACTTCTTCTAGCCACAAGCCTGTAACCTGTGGGGTACCACAGGGATCCGTACTTGGTCCCCTACTATTTATAATATTTATTAATGATCTTGTTGAATACATATCAAGTGGTCACTTCATTAACTTTGCTGATGACACTAATTTGATTGTATGGGCCGATACTATGGATGAACTTGAAGAAAACCTTAAAAGATCTATTGAAGATATGACAAAGTGGTGTAATTCAAACAAACTAATTCTCAATGAATCAAAGACCAGTCTTGTGCAATTCAGAACTAACTTCCGTACTGAGCTCCACTGCAATAGTATGTACTTTAATAGTTTCACCCCAAGTACTAAATTTCTTGGAATCTTCATTGATGACAATTTGAAATGGACTCAGCACATAGAAGAGCTTGAAAGTAAATTAAATAGAGCAATTTTTGCAATTAGAAAAATCAGAGATATAATAGATGTTAAAACTGCCATAATAACTTACCATGCTCTCTTCCACTCTCTACTATCTTATGGTGTAACAACCTGGGGTGGCTCACCTCGTACAATAGATATATTTAAACAGCAGAAAAGAGCCATAAGAGCCATTATGAAACTTCCACAACGACAGAGCTGCAGAGATTATTTCAAGAGTCTCAACATCCTGACTCTCCCCTCACTCTATATTTTTGAAACACTCAAATTTGTTCATCGCAACATAGCAAAATTTTCCTTAAACTCTGACTTCCATCACCACAACACAAGACAAAATACACTACTAAGACCTGAAAAGCACAACATATGTGTAACCCAGAATGATATCTTCCACAAAGGCCCTATATTATACAATAAATTACCACTTAGTTTTAAGAAATTGACCTATGTTAGATTTACTAAACAATTAAAAAAGCTTTTAATATCTCATTGTTTTTACAGTGTTGATGAATTTTTAAAATGTAATGTCAATTCAATGTCCAATACTGCTTTTTTGTAGTTCAGTGGCAATAAACAATCAATCAATCAATCAATCAAT